AATATAACCAGGTCAAAAGTACCCGTTCGCGAAAGGGTTAAAATATATTTCCTGTGCATGAAATCCGCTGTTATGGCCAGCGAGACCATCGATTAGGGTGTCAGATCCGTTGCAAGCTGGAATCCTGCCGGAGACCAAGTAACTCCGACAGTATGAATTAATCTACGCCCACGTTCTGCAAGCTGAATTCGTCACGTGGACCCGAGAAATGCTAGTGTGTCAACAGCTACTATAATAGCACTAAACACTCTTGGATCCAATTTGAGCGCGTTGTTGGTGCCGCTAAGAGCACCGGCGTATATGTAGGTGGGGGGACTTGACGCCTGCCTCTTGTGGTATGTAGTTTCGTAGACTCGCGCCTCCATTTGGGATGGGACCAAGTGCGCTTTGACTTGTACTCGGCCGATGTTTCGATCGATGTCTGCACATGACATCGTGTCCTCCTCACATCCAGAGGGGGCGACGATCGTCGAGGAGAAGGAGCCCAGTCTAGATGACGCGGGGAGAAACGGAGACTCGGACAAGACGGCGTCGGGGTCATCCAAGCGCTTTTTAACCGACTGGTGACGACGTCCGCAGTGGCTGCAGCTCTCGCCGAAGTGCAGAGAACCGAAGCACAGAGTGAACGTACCAAGAGGAGACGAGTCGATCGACGGCATTCAGGAGCAATGGAGACTGACAAGCACAGTACCGATGCAGCAGCACAGCCTCTTGCGTATCGCATGAGTGCTCCTCATATTGACCCAGTCCCTGCGGTCTCAGCAGAGGTATCGAAGCAAAGTATCTCACCTCGGACTCAGCTCAAACGAGCCACGAGTACGCATCTTGCAGGTATGCGGGGACGACTTAAAGCTGCTAAACCAGCGGAGACAAATGGATCAACTACACTAACTACTAAGCGTCCAAGTACCGCAACAACACCGACCTTTAAGCGAATGTCCAGTTCCGGTACAACTCCGTCGTTTCAAGCAGTGGCCAAGGCGGTGGCCGTGAGTGGAAACTCGACAACTGCAACGAAAGACCAAGGGCAGAATTATGAACAGATGATGGCGCGCTTTCAATTGCGACAGCTTGAATTCACAGGATCCGGTCGAAATCTTGAGACTGACAGGAAAATGCTCCACCGACGAAGTACAGCGTATAAAGTTCCAGTGTTTTCCGAGATGAGTCAACACCGTATAGATGACAGCCTACGCTCCACACACCGGCGAAGCGAGGGTGAACAAATCGATACCACAATCGGTCGGGAAGGTGACAGGGATATTTTAACCACGTCCCAGTCACGTACAAGCAAAGGAGAGTCCTCGTCGTCCTGGAGCGCCTTCTTTCCATTCAAATAACATAAGTATTGCACCTCCTGCAACTGCATCAGTAACTCCAGTTGATCATCTAGGATCGACGAAAGGAACTTTAGGAGGATCAATGCGCTCCATTGCATCTGCAGTCAAGGTTCCTCGTTCTTCAGCTGTAGAACCCGATTAAACTCGCATTTCCCAGCAACAAGAGAAGACTGAACAAGGCCAACAACGGCATCCAGAAAAGAATCTGGTGGCATTCTAAATCGAGATCTATCCAGTTTTCAGAAATTTAATTCCCGCACAGGAAATCGACCACGTCCGCTTCCACGTTTCAAAAAGAGAGTGCGAACGGTACTTACGAGGTTAAGTACACTTTTATCCCCCTTTTCAAGGACAGCTCGCGTGCGCAGCTTTATCTTGTTATTGGCTTTCTGCGTGCACACACTGGGGTTTCCGTATGGGGAAGCTTTCCACAATGGCGGACGCGCGTGGTTCATTACCGTCGATTCCGTGACTGAAATGGTATTTTTCGCAGAATTTTTACTCGCATTTAACACGAGTTATGTCAACAAACGCGGAGTTCTCGTGGTTTCTAGACGGCATATCGCGTGGAATTTCCTCACTGGAGCATGCATGTTCCAGTTCGTAGCTGCATTTCCGTTCCGAACAATTATGAAAAATTTGGGTGAAAACATCACACAGGCTGAAATCGAACATGATGCATTCGGCCGCTTTTCACATACGCTTCTAGTGTGGTCTCTTGGGCTGTTGAAGGCGAATTGGATAGTGTATTAGCTTTCTCCTACATGCATGGCCAGCGGTTGTGCGACCTTTCGCTATCTAACCGCTGTGCTTCCGTTAGCTTCTTGTTGTCCGTTAGCAACGGACAACGGCCGTGTAGCCAAGTCTGGAATCTGCTGAGAGCAAGCTGCTCCACA